TAGAATAGGTTGTTGATTTTGCAGAAATTGCAGCTTCAGAATATCCCAATATCGTACATCCTGCAAAGCTACATGGGAAATGGCTTGGTACTTATTGAACTCACTTCCCGGCAGCAATGGTTCATGCTTATGTTGGACCCAAGGGCCCATACCTAGTGATGAGAGATTCAATGAACACATGCCTCGTTCAGCAGCAAGGCCTCTTGACCACATTAAAGCATTTAGCTCATTTTCTTTGATGTCTGAAATGCAAAGGTAAATAAACTAGAATGTAAGAAGTTCCAAATAAAATGTTCAGATTTTATTTTACATTTTGAAAAAGATATAACCCTTATCATTAACATATAATAAGCAAGAATTGACTTATCCTTGAAATTTATTATATTTGAAGTAGCTACAGTATCTGTTACATTACCAAGAGCTACATAATGTTATATTAACAATAGTTTCACAAACTTAAGAGTTCCTAAGCAATTTTTTTCAGTCAGATAATTGAATAACAGAAAGGATAGATAATAAAGGTCATCATATGAATCTGCATCTCCATTTTGTTGTTCACCTTCGAGAGACCCTGACAAGGCTGACCAAGGTATCATAGAGTTAGATCAAAATACATGCATGAGAACATACCACAAGGAAAGGATGCTCCAGGATGCCAAGATCTGCCAATTGGAAACAATGATGGATACATGGGAAAGGTAGTTAAAGGCTCAACTTCCCACAGTGATACTCTACACCAGAGTCTGCCATACCGAATCGTACCGTCCGGTACGGGCGGTATGTACCGGTCCAATAGGCTAACGGTACGCAGACCGCCCGCTACCGGTCTGACTGTAGAAGTGCACTGTAGCACTACAACGTTACAGTTACTGTTGCAGTGCACTGTTATAGTAGCAGTACGGTGCACCAGTACACTGTAGCAATGCACTGTTATAGTAGCAGTACGGTGCACCGTTATAGTAGCAATGTACTGTTGCAGTGCACTGTTATAGTAGCAGTACGGTGCACCGGTACAGTGCTCGGTGCCCCTGAGTATACCGCTCGGTACACCTGGGTGTACCGCTTGGTACACCGTACCGTACCGGTACCGAGCCCAGATCGAAATACCGGTACGGTACGGTATTGCGAACCTTGCTCTACACTGCCTTTTACCTTCCGTGGCTTCATCCCAGCCAACCTGTAGTTACTAAAATGTCATATTAGTTCACGAAGACATCTTGTGTTGTTGCAGCAACTTGAATACCATAAAAAATACCTACATTCTACAGACTAGCTAACAAGGAATACTAAATTATTGTACCATTTGTATTATTCAAAAATTAGAAAAAAATATTACAGCAGCAGAGTCCAACTCACCATAAAAAATACCTACATTCTTGTGTTGTAGCGGTATCGGACGGTCCGCGAACCGGTAACCTGTCGGACCGGTACGTACCGCCCGGTATGGGTGGTACGCTTCGGTATGGCAGACCTTGATCTATGCAATCATCTTACTAATGTTGAGTCAGCAAAAATAATATAAGCACAAGCACCCCAAAAATGTATGTAAAACTTATGAGTTCCAACCTACTAAGCTTCACACAAAGAAACAAGAATGGCAGGATGGTAAGTATCCCCTTGTAAACATACCCTATTGACCTATTTAACCCTCATAAGACTCTTTTAAGGCAGGTTTTCAGAGAAAAATAAGTAATATACAGTAAGTAAAACTAAGATCAACTTAAGCTTGTTGATCTTCTAATATCACCACAGTCATAGATCAGCCACTTCATTTCACTAACTCTTAGTAGATTTGCATTTCTAACAAAATGTAGCACTAAGATATTAATTTCTTCAGTTAAAACCTCAAAGATAAACAAATCTTCATCAATGACATTACACTAGGGTGACACAAGTAAATGTGTCTGTCTACATGTACAAATAAATAAAATGGGAGACATGCTAGAGCCTTATCAGAGGGATTGAGGCCTCAATCTACCTTAGAATCGATCATGAAGGAGCATGGAGGTATCAAATCATAGATCGTCTTTGTTGAGCATGATTTTTGATATAAAGAACCTCCATAATTAATTTCAAGGACATGTATCTACATATAATAAAATACATCTTCACTGCAGATATTTACCTGGACTGTTTTCCAATGAGAAGTCGGCCAACGTACAGGATCCAAGACACTTATGCCAGTAATTGTTCCCATGTACCTTCAGTCAACATGAATAATAAATAGAAAATTAGATGTGTCAAACAAGAATTGGCTGCCCCATACAACACAAATTAGATATCTTAATGCAATCACATAAGAGGACTTAGCATATGAAGTAATAACTTATATAGATATTCTTATTCTAACCACAAAAGAGAGACATTAAGGAAGGCAATGGTTAATTCAAGTATTTTGGCAAATGTTGTTACATTACCTACGAATGCTTGATTCCTCGGTCTCAAAAAGCATACGAAATCGCATCCCAATTGATACACATGTGTGGAATACAGCTTTAGTGTACTTTGAAAGAGGTATAACAAACTCTGATGGGCTGGCCCTGCAACAATTCCAACCAAAAAAGCGATAGCGACCAACAGAATATATTGTAATGACAACTGCTACCTTGGATTATAAAATATGGTAAAACGACTATTTGTGGCAGCAGCATGAGCTGCTGCAGCAAAGAGTCCTATATGCATGCTGTCACTTGATAAAACCAGTGATGATGATGCTGAAGTTTGTGGTTGATTAGTGCGTCTTATTCCCAACAAAAGCTGGTTCTTTTCATTCCTGAGAAGGAAATCAAAATCAAAATAAAAAAAATGCATTCAATGAAAGAAATGGAGATGGATTTTTCATTTTTTTGTCACATTAAACATGGAAGAAGAGGTAAAAGAAATCAAGTTAACCAAATAAAAAGAACAGAATCCCCAGCGACAAGTCTCTTGGCACGGACAAACACACTCCAGCCTGTAGTAAGGAAATGCCTTTTTGGTTGACCTGTGATCAGGGAAATGATCTATAATAAAATTCTAATGATGTTTCAATTGTTATAGATAGAAATAGAAACAAAGAAACTAGAGTCTTCAACTGTTAGAATGAATTTGTAGTTGCCTTCATGACTTGCTCAAAATAGTTTTAGCTTTTCTCATCTGAATGATGATATTAAAGCCTTCTACTAATGAGCAAATTATTCATAAAACTATCACAAACTTTCATTCAACTCTTTCAAACAATCACAAAGTTTGATTGCAAGGTCTGCAGCATGTGCAAATTTAACAGGAGAAACAGTTAGAGATTATGGAGATGGTGAAATTTTAAAAATGGTAAAGGAGAGGATCTAAATGATGAGTTGAGCTATAGTTAAAGTGAACTGATTGGGCAATGTCATGCACTTCGAAAGGGCCAACTAAAAGAATAATAAAGCAACAGCAAGATTCAAAATAAGAGATCTCCATTGCAGCATGATTCTCTGGATTATCTGCTGACACTTCTGAGGCAGTTCCCAGGTGCAAAGAGCAAGTGCATGCATCAAGCTAAAGAGAGAAGATTAGCATATGCTTGATTTTATATTGTGGTTGATTTGACACAGTAGTATGATGAAGTATCATGACAAGGAGATTAGAGATTATCAAGCGACATAGCACATTAAGAAAGTTTCAAAAGGAGAAATTTGATTGGTTTATCATCAAAATCATAAAAATTGCACTCAAAATACCTTTCATGGAAGCATTGTCAGACTTTTTTGCAAACAAGAGTAACGAAATGTTATGATGATAAGACACTGGAATCTTATGGCATTCAAGACACATAAAGGGGATATCCGTTACCTGAACACAAAGTCAGTTGGAATGTTTAAGATTTAAATTCTTAACTTTTTCAACCAAACTATCAATGTACAAAAATATTCAGGTCACGTGCTTGTATGGTAATACCAGATTTTTCAAAAAAATATAATCCCTTCAAGTTAAGTGATACAACATTGTTAAAGATTGATTCAAGTACGATAAGGATCAATAATGAAAGTGTTGTGGATCTAAGGAATCAAACTATTCTTTCAAACTTTCAATATCCAAAGGCATTATTTTGACCAATTGAAACTATGGAAAGGCATCCTAGGTTCAGATCCAATCAACAGATGCTCTTAAAAGATGAATCAAAGGAAGGTTTTTATTCTGCACATATCTAACCCTTGATTTAGAAGTAATTGTTTGTTCTGTCAATATGTGAAGTGCACTCTCCTTTACTTAGCTACATTATTGCTAGTTTCTTGCTTATTATTAATTATAGTTGTGTTAGTTTAAAGTGTTTATGGGGACATGATAAAAGGATCCCCACAGAACTATAAGTTGCAAATTGACTCATTTGCAGCAGTTATGTATGACCAATATTATAATTAAAAGGTATCTGAGATAGTTTTGACAACAGCTTTTCTCCTTCTTCATGCTTATGCTTATAGAAGTTCTCAAGCAACAGACCTCTTCAATATTTGAAGAATATATCACAATTTGATGAGTGAAGCAATTCCATCACAAAGTCTTTATTCACTCTTTGAAGTTTCAACTCTGTTGGTAGTTTGGGATAATAAATCACTTGCCATTTATCTCATTTTCATCCTACAAAACAAAGTCAGTCTCCAAACTATAGAGCTGACATAGTTGGTTTATGGATTGTCAGATTCAAGAATTAGATAATTTTCGACAATTTTTATAACACAAAAAATAGTGTGACCAAACTTCAATTTTCTTGATTCAGCATGCTTATAATTAAATTTCTGGCCAACTCTAATGGACCCTGCATCAACAAGCTTGAAAGCATCAAAGGTATCTTTTCTAAAGGTAATTTCTGGTCCTTTATTAGAACATAAAGTGGGATGTGTACCAATTCTAATCCAAGGATGAGAAGGTTAGGATCCATTTAATAATATCTTTCCAAAGTTGACCAAAAACTAATGAACAATCCCAAACTAAAAGCAATAGGAATCCCAATTTACATCAAGTATAAACAACTTAAATTAAGCTTCCATGAACTAGTACCTGTTTTGGCTTAATCAAGAAATGATTGTTGCCCAATTCAGGAGGGGTTGATAAAGGACAAAACTGGCAATTATATTAGCACTAGTTATGAATGATCAATATGTTATATATGCAGTAAAAGTATTGGTTGAACATGATTCATTTTTTCCTTAATTTACAATGCATTTCTCCCAATACAACTAAGCCTGCCAATAGAATTATGAAATGCAAAAATTATATAGCATCTAGAGTAGGTTCAATCACCTCGAAAAATGTGCCTGAACTTCCATTCAACATCATAAAGGTCACGAGCAATAAGCTCCTGCACTGGCGGCTGCTGAGAGAAATCCTAACACCAATGAAACAGCAGTAATCACCAACTCCTATTCATGGTGTTCAAAAAAATTCCATGAGAAAATAATACAACTTGTTCATGGCCATCGCACCAGAGGAGGGAAGACTTTTTCAGCTGCACGACGAGGTATAGAGAACCCTCCATGGGTACTTGTATCACTTGCTGTCAGAATCTTGCAGAAATAATTTGTGGGTTGCTTGCTCGTAAAACCCATCTCAATGGGAAAATAAGTGACTTTCTGCTCTTCCTGTAGCCAATATATGAGTCTTCTGGAGTTTCTTATAGGAAAATACAATACAGTGGCTAGTAAACAATCAATTTTCAAATCAAAATTACCGGACTCAGAGGTTGCAACGTCATCTGAGCATAAACTTCATCTGTTTCCACATCTGCCTGCAATTTTTACAGCCACAGGAATCTAAATTTGACCACGTTAAGTCATCTAGACCAAAAAAAATCTGTGAAAGAACGAACGCGCAAAGTCACGTTATGGAGCCGGCAAAGCAACTGAGGCAGTAAGCTTGGGTAATTGGGAAAATGGCTCTCTACTTCCTTGTTCGTCGATGCAGCCGCCTTGATTAAAACCGACCACCAATCATTAAACAGAAAACGCACAGAACATGCATATCTTAAGGAAACGCATCAAAGATTCAATCTTTCACTTGCTCACTGTGACCCTGAGGAAAATAGACTACTCGAGTTCCAGCTGTGGGTAAGGACACCAGCGGCCCGGCGAGGCGTGCCAGAGCTCCGAATCCAAGCATCTCTTCTCCTCCCCTAATTCAACATTCAAAAAGCAATCTGCATTCTTAGACGGCGGAGGCTAAGAACAGAAGCAAGATCAAAGGCAACACAGAAAGATCACCTTCTGGTGCTTGCTGGCTGATACCAACAGTAGAAAGCTTCATCTTATCTCTGCCAATTCAATCATTTTCTCACCTGAAACGGTACTCACTCTCCCATCCGAAACAGTAAGAAGAACTACCTGCCAAATAAACGGAAAACCACAGCTTCAAGACTCATCAAGCCACTAATAGCCCAAGCATAGTCGACACCAGAAGCTAAAGATAGCATACAAAAAGAAGCAGCCTTAGCCGCAAGAATTCGTCGACAAAGAACACAACTTTCTTGGTCCCAGAAACTTATCCGAGCTCGGGGAAGCTCTCGTTCTTGGAGATCTCCATACCGAGCTTCCCAAGAATCTCGCAAGCCCCTAAAAGGGAGAGGAGAGAGAGGATAATGGATAAATTTTTGGCAACAAAACAAAAACTTGTCACTCGCACTTTTTCACTCTTCGGGTTTCGAACTTCAATCGAAGGAAAAGCTAATGGAATTCAAAGAGAAGAAAATAGTGGCTTTTGTTCCCATCGCAATGTCTCCTCACGAGTCTCGACCGAAGTCGTTCGCTGTCGGACACACGCACACTTCCCCATAGTATTCCGCCTCCAGGAAAACGCTTCTAATAATCAATATCTTATTTGCACAACAAATACGTTTTCCCAATCGCGTACCCGTGTAATGAATGGATTAGGGGGTGGGCCAAGGTGGTAGAGGTTGGTGGGTGTCGCTTTACTTGAACGTCGGACTTTGGGTTTTAAGCTATATTTTTGCCGCAAAATTTGTTTTAGGTTATTTCACACATCATTTGTCTCCCGCTTCCTCTACCCGTATACTGACTTGAGGGAAAAATAGGGGGCCCGGTTGATCTAAGCATACAGTAATCGAGTGCTCGTTAATTTGGGCGAGGAAAACGCAGGAGTTCTAGGTATGGAGTCAGCACGGGGAGGAGCAAAAGACGATCTCAACCGTCGATGGGTACCACCAACAGATCCACACCGTCCACAGGGACTGCTAGCTTTCTGACGGAAATGCCCCAAGCCTTGTCGTTAATGTCGGAAGAGGGCTCGTCGGAGGCGCGAGGACCGCCCGCCGCACGTGGATACGACCCACCGTGAGGCCCACGCTGAACGAATAATCGTCGTCCTTGTGGGCCCCGCAATCTGGGGTCGGGCGGGGTAAGCGAACGGGGCTACCCGGCGGTCACCACCACCCGCAGCTTGCTCGTGCTCGCAGCGGACTGCTATATCGGATATGCCGTGGTCCGTTATAATAATTGTAACGCTTCCCTTGAAGCGTTTATTGTTCCATTATAGACCGTCTTACAACGTAGTATTTCTATAATGATTCCATTATATAGTTAATTGCTTTTATAATATTCACAAAAAATAACAACTTTTTGACGAAAGAATCTTTTTAGCTAAATGAATTTAGAAAGTTAATTTTGTCTGTATTAATATAAATCCATTGAGAAACAATTTTAGTGTCACATACACTCTTTTGTGTTATTGGAAGTGGAAATATACATATATTTTCCGGGATATTTGAGAAAAAATATATTTACTTGAAGATATTCTATAATAATCGGATATTTTTTTAAAAAATAAAATAAGAATTAAATTATCAATCATGATCAGAGCTGAGAGAGATTACCTACAGATTTAGACAGATAAATACAAATCATATTCTAATAATATTGCATCCTAATCTATATTTATATTGAGATTGGATGAATCATATACGCTACTATTATAGCTTTAGATCAAATTAAAAAGGATGTGACTATGAATATTGCATTAATCAATACAAATGAATAGGTAGGTTTGAATGAAAGTATGATATAAAAATAACTATAAAAAATATTTAGAAACTTAGTGCTTGATTCTACCAATGATTTAAATGTTTATAGGTAATTAACCAACTGACTACATTGACTGAAACACAAAACTGTATAATTCAATGGCCACAGAAAAATAATAATAAAGTATGACTAATAATATTTATAGATTTGACTGTTGTATAGTTAGAAATAATATATACAAAAATATTTATGTTATCAAAATCAGAATATTGAGATAGATATTATTAGGAAAGATAATAAAAGAACTATTGTTATTCATGCATAACTAAATATGTAAAAGATAAGATGAAAGAAAATTACTTTAGGACGATAGAGACATGCGGTTAAGAAACCTCCAAATGCAATAGTCAATAAAAAAATAAATGAATTAATATTAATGATATGATGAAAGATAAAAAAAAATTAAAAATATATTAATAAAAATTATAAATAAAAATTTTATTATTATGAACTGAACTAAGAAGTATATGATATTTAAAAGATCCATCTAATCATTCCTAAATAATTAAAACTTTTGACTTTATAATCACAATAATAAAGTCAAAAGTTTT